TATATCACTAACATGTCATGAGGATATATATATGAGCTATATTTTATCATCGTATCCACCAGTAACTAATATCTTTCCATTTGTTAATACGGAGGCTGTGTGTTCTTTTCGTGCAGTATTCATACTACTAGTCATTGTCCAAGTTGCTGTTGATGGATCGTATAGCTCAGTACTATTTAGAATATCGATATTGTTGTCACTCCCAGTAACTAACACCTTTCCATTTGTTAATGCGGAGACTGCGTGTTCTGCTCGTGCAATATTCATGCTACCAGTCATTGTCCAAAATCCTGTTGATGGATCATATAGCTCAACAGTATTCAAAGGACCAGTATCATTCCGTCCACCGGCAACTAGTACTTTTCCATCTGTTAATACGCATGATGTATGGTCTTCTCGTTCATAATTCATGCTACCAGTATAAGACCATCCTAGACAAAAATATTTGGATCTATTCGTTCTGACTAGAATGTGTATTAATGAACACTCGAAATCACTTAATTCCATGCAGAATTTTTTTGTTGCATTTCTGAAGACTTCTAAAAGTCCTAAATTTGTTGTGAGAAATTGTTCACGGTATGGTATGATAGTAAGTTTTGTATTTTAGATAAAGAATCGTATACACCACTGAGACTTAAATGAGGTTTGTAATTATTTCCTATCTTTCGTTACATTTATTTACAAGAATTAATACATTCTAATTATATGTAGCTTCTATTAATTATAACTGCCGTAATAAAACTCCCCAAATGAAGAAGATATCATGGAAAATGGTCGAACCCTGAAAATTTCGGACGAATTCCCGCAGTCACAACCAAACTCTGTTTTCGTCTTTGATTCTGGCTTGTTTCCCGTCAATTTAGTAGTTAGTGCGATGTCCAGATATAGTTATCCTTTTCGATTCCGTTGTAGACTAAGAGAGACGGTCACTTTATCACGACTAAATCACAGAAATAATATTTCATCATTTCCAACTGTCATGATCCTAACTTTTTGAGTCTGCATGCTGTGATCGATTCGATAGTAAAATATAAACCTATCATATATCCCTTTCATTCGCATGATGTAATTAGTCTTTAACCAACAATTGTAAGAAATATCGATGTAAATATTTTTTGCAATAGATGAAATTTACATGACTTTAGTCGACTACGGATTAGATATAACTTGTTATCCCTTCCGCGGCAGACAGCCAGACGACGAGAGGTTTTCGCTTGATCTCTGGTTTTCTCAGTAGCATGGCATGCAAAACAAGTAAATTAGCATCTCATATGATAAGGCATTGAAGGCGCTTCAAAATGAATATTTACTTCCTATTAAAAATGCTTTGCTCATCAAAATAGGACATTAATATCTGGGATATATCATTAGTATGGACAGATCGATCAGACGCGCTCTCGCTTGTGGCGGTTGTTTAGTCAATCTAGTGATCATTGAGGAGAGGGAAATGATTTGAAAAATTCTGTTTTGGCTCTTTCGTAAACCTGACCCAGTTCAATCAAAAAGCGTCGTAGATAGCTCGGGAACGTCTCATTTCGTAACGAATTATTTGATCTATCGTTCCACATAATGTGAGCAAAATTTTATTTTCTCATTATAGCTACTACAAAACTAGCGTTTTAGAATTCTAAAAGCCTCCAGTGACTATTCTGTGTCTTATAATTGTTATTGTAAGAAATAAATTAGTTCGATGTGCACCTATACAGAAGTGCTCAAATGCATAAGAAAATGGTTTTGGCTTTGGTAACCTACCGAAAAGAGCATTTTTTTGACGCAATTCTAACCGGTTTCACTGATCTTTTCACAGAAACTGACCGAAACTACGCCAGAAAATACGTTATTTTTGGAGGAATCCTTCGAATTTGGAGGCAGAAATCATCGATCTAAAACATTCATGGAATTCAGCAGTGGTATGTGACAAGCTTCGACTGTAGGGCTGTTTGATCTTATCAAGTTAAGTAATCGCATAACCATTTTTTAAGCTATCGTCGGTACTCATAGTGCTGTACCACGTTCTAACGGCATATTACTGCAGAATCCGATCGAATCGTTATACTAAAAATCTAATAAAATACTGAAAATAATGTCCGCTCAGTTTCCGACATTAGGGATTCGAATCTGATTTCATCATCTGGTTTCTAGCAATAATTTAGTAGGTTTCTCTTGGGTCTATCTGATTCAAAATTGCCATTTAGCGAAGTTAAGGAGTGTTACTTTAAAGCTTACTAGACTGCTGAGTTGTAGTCGTAATTATCGTTGATGATGATGATGTTGATTCTGTTGTTGTGAGGGATGGTGTTGTAGCAATGGTAGTGATTGTTGACTTCTTCGACGCAAAAACGACGAATTTTAACAGTAGAGAGAGAGTAACTACAAATATTGTTAGGACGATAAAAAAGATGAAAATAATCTTAGCCCAACGATGATGCCACCATTGATGTGGGTCAATATTTTTAGTGCGCAGCTCTGTGTAGGCTTGATTTTTATGCATACTATGTTCCTTAAAAAACGTAAACTTAAAAAGAACAAGTTATTGTTTGAAACTACTTTATATTCGTTTCATCATTCTCACACGAGTAACAAAGATAAGCAATTCTTCTCCACAAAAACTATTGCTAGTCTTATCTTTATATAATAAATTTCATATATCAACATGGTAGCACAAAACTGCGCTTCACCATTAAGTTTTTTTCGCGTCAGATGTCATAATTCAGATGAAAAAATTAGACAGTAAGATCAACCATAGATTTTTACAAGTTTGTATAAGATTTTACTCCAAGATTTTAATGAAGCTGACAAAAATCCAACACTTTCCAAAGTTCAATCTACACCCATCCAACGGTCTAGTTAGATTACAGGACTCTATTATACTTTATTCATATTTTTATATTCTGAGTGATACTCTTCATTATTCACCTATGTTTTCGAGGGTGTGGGTGTGGTGGATGAGGATGTAGACAAGACAACACCCACACACCCAGTCCATATTCGTCGACTTGGGTAGCTTAACTTTGCTGCTTTCTTACCATTTCCTGATGATGACAATTGTGAACTGTCAAAAGCTTGAAATGTAAAATAATGTTCGAAGAAAAATTTTAGAAAATTATAATCTTCGTCGCAGTTCTTTACTCAGTTATATCAAAGATGATCATGTTTACCGATGTAGGAATATACTTTATCAAGCATCACATTGATCAATTAAAACTGACTCATTACAAATCTTTGATCTCAAAGCTTGCTTTTCGAATTAGAGGTAATTTTGTACTTCCTCCTGTTCAGAAATCTATACTACCATTCAGTACTCAATCAAAGTGTAAGTACGTACCATTAATGAAGTGATAGTTGTTTACCTTACTACACATAAACTTTGCCATATCTAAATATTATATAGATTAGTTAGGATAGGCGATTATCCTGCAGTTTAGTTTTTTTATTCATGCCCTAAAACAAAGGATTATTCATGTTAAAATGCATTCATTTGTTTAATTCTTCTATTGACTGCGTTACCAGATGTCACTTGCCTTAATATGGTTTTTCAGTCCGTTAGAATGCGTTAACAATAGTTAAACGCGTTGAAACTCGTGGGAACATGGAATTTATCATGGCAATCTGTCATAAGAAGGAAATAGCGGCAACTCCATTAAAATGAAGTAATACAATTAAAGAAGAAACAAATGTTTTCAATCTTGTCATGCAGCAATGAAGAAATCACTCGCGAAAGTACTAATGCAATAAAATAGACCTACAGTTTTGCATGATGAAGACTTTTTGAAAATATCGATAGAATAAAAAAACAAATCAATTGAACATGATATCTATTCGATCATGAACTACAAATTAAATATCGTTTGTTTACATATTTTATATCGTGATATTGTTTATGTTGCTAATTGATTTAAATCACTGTCAATTAGAAACAGTTGCTACTATTGTCAAATGCTTATTTCCATTTCAGTCAAAGCTTCCGGCATGCTATTGTTTAATTTCTGTCTGCTCTTAAGTCGACACTTGTTACGTGTTCTGTTTTTCTTTTAAATAGTTCTCTATTTATGTGAATTAGTCATCTTTGTTGAGGTTTCTCCAAGGTGAATACAAGTAAAATGTCAATATTTAAATTCTGTCTTGACATACATATTTAATGAATCCATGATTGTAAACAAATTCTACATTATCTATCATTATTCATAAAAATTATGGAATCGTCATATCAGATGGATATGTTACGTGGACGATGTCAAGAACTTCCAGAAGTGCGGTCAAAAGTCGTACGTGTCTTTGTTAGTTCAACATTTTCAGGTAGAAAATATTGTAAACTTGTATGAAGAAATATAATGGTATGTTTTTTTTTTCTTTTTATATAGATACACTTAGCGAACGAGACTCATTAATTGATAGTGTCTTTCCAAAATTAAAAGATTATTGTCGTGAAAAATATGGTCTTGAATTTCAAGTTAGTATAAACAAATTTATATCTTTTTTTTTATTTCTCATAAATTTCATTTTACTATTATTCGAAGTATTCGGATATGCGATGGGGCATTGAAAATGAATCAGCCGATAATCATAGTGAAGTTGAAACTTGTCTTAATGAAATAAAATTATGTCAGAAATATTCAATGGCTACTAATTTTGTGGTTTGTTGAATCTTTCAATGATCGCTTAATTCTCACAATCTAAGGTATTGTTTTGCATCTCCACAGGTTCTATTAAGTCATCGTTATGGTTCACGACCAACACCAGCTACTATTCATGCATCACTTTTTGAACGACTACAACAAATTATTCTTTCCGATTTGAATTTAACCGAGGATGCTGAACTACTTTCTCAATGGTATCAACTAGATACGAATTGTATACCATCTGCTTATATTCTTCGTCCAATTTCGTCAATGTTACCAAACATAAAATCAACAGTATGATATGACTGTCGATTAGAATTAAAATTGACAAGAGTGTTTTTTTTTCTCTTTTAGGAATTAGATGAAATGAAAAAAGCTGCAAAAGAATGGACAAAAATAAATAATCGTATTCGAACGTGTTTACGACAAGCAGCAGCGAAATGTTTCGAACAAGGTCAAATCAATGCAAATGAATATGATGATTTTTTTATATCAGGTAAATTTCTATGTTTATTATATTGAATATTTTTCTTTCTATATTAATAATTATAGTTACTGAAAAGGAAATAATCAATGGAATTCTATCAGTACCCAATGCTAATGAACGTACTTTATGTTTTCTACGTGAAATCAATGGTATTTATGATCATTTATCAGATAGTAAAGCATCGAGATTTATTGATTTAAATTATTCTGATGATGGAAAACCTATTATTGATTATGAAGCTGATCAGTTACTCAATCGTTTGAAATCTACACGTATTTCAAATGCATTACAATCTAATAATATATATTCATATAAAGTACATTGGACACAAAATGGTATTAATCGACATGATCATGCTGAATATATATCGAAATTTAATGATGATTTCTACGATGCAATAAAACAACAAATAGATAATTGTGTTAAATCACGTATTATGATTATTTCTGGTCCATTACAACATGAAATATTGGAACATGCTATACAATGTAAAACATATGTAGCTAAATTTCATGGTCGAGCTGATGTTCTAGATAAAGTAAGATATTTACTAGAAGGATTGTTTCATTCTTTTTTTTTCCTATGGAAATATATCTTTTATTTCTATCAGTTAGAAAAATATATTAAAAATGAAAAGGAAAATCGACCATGCATTGTATATGGAGCATCTGGTTGTGGCAAAACAAGTGTACTTGCTAAGGCTGCAACTGAAGTATGTATATATAAAAACAATGTGCAATTAAAAATGAATTGTTAACTATTATTTATTGTAATTTTAGGCATTGAACTGGTGGTCTGATCGATCTGTATCAGTTATTTTACGTTTTCTTGGGTATGTTTGAAATATTAATCTTAAATATGGATACTTTTGACAAAAAAAAATTCCCAATATATTCTCTTGAATAAAAATAAGAAAATTCTGTTCATTTAAAATCCGATTATCAAGATATTCTTATGATTATATTAATGTTTATTTTTATATTTATACTTAATAGTACAACGCCGACTTCATCTACAGTCTACAAAACTATACTTTCTATATCTCAACATATATGTAAATTATACAATCTATCAATGGAAATCTATCCTGATGTATTACAATTACGTCATCAATTGGAAACTAATCTATTAATGCGTATACCAACTAATGAATATCTTGTTCTATTACTTGATTCAATTGATCAACTCGAACCAGAAGCATATGATTGTCAATGGTTAGTTGGAATATTTCCATACAACGTCAAATGTATTGTATCAACTATACCTGATCATGGTAATATTTTAGCGCATTTAAAAGGAATTATTAATTATAATCAGTTATCACCAAATGAAACAGAACATTTACTTGTTAATGTTCCATCATTTGAAGCATCAACAGTCGAAATTGTCTATAATGATTGGCTTGCATTGAAAAAACGTTCATTAAGTGATGAACAACGTTTATTTATTCGTAATTTAATGAAAGAACGTAACGAAATTCTACCTCTGTATATGAAACTTATGTTTGATATTATTTTAACATGGCATTCATATGATTCAATCAATATTGAATTAAAAAAATTAAGAAATGTCGATGATTGTATTCGTTATCTATTTCATCATTTGGAAAAAGTTCATAATCGTCTTTTATTCATTCGTGCTATATGTTATATGACAGCATGTCGTAATGGTATCAGTCAAAATGAACTTGAAGATGTACTTTCACTTGATGATGAAGTTCTTGCAAGTGTTTTTCAACATTATATACCACCTGTTCGACGTTTACCTGGTATCTTATGGACACGAATTCGAAATGATTTAGATGAATATATCACAGAAAAAGAAGCTGATGATTCGTCAGTCATCTTTTGGTATGATTAATACTATAATATTCAGTTAGAGTTTAAAGGTGAAGCATATTTTCAAGTGATCCTTAGCGTTTGAGTAAGCATATTTTATACAAAAAAGAAAACATAACATAGAACATACTATGAATCACCATGATCTGAAAAGCTGTACGATACGATTCGTTTAGTAATTGAGGATATTATAAAAAAAATTCAAAGATCAATAAAAATCCATTTTCTTATTTCAATAAAAATCAAATATATAATAGTACTCCATGATATTAAATGTTCGTATCAAGTATTCGTAGAACATTGCATTAGAAGAATTGATTCCAATATGTTAATATAGAGATGTGAACATTTTAAATGAATACTCTCTTCAGTATAGAATTCAATATGTTCTGTATTTCTTTGATTATATAAATATTACGTAGGTACCATCGTCGATTTATTGAAGTTGCAAATGCTCAATATATTTCAAAAATGAATTCTCAAGAACGAGAAGCTGTTTTTCAAAATATGGTTGATCTATACAAAGAAACATGGAAAGGTAAAAGTAAGCCATTCAAAATAAATGATCCAAAATTACTCAATAAGTATAATTTAAATGAATCAAATGGTGAAATTCAAGCAAATCGATTTACAACTTCACAACCAATCGAATTCGTTGATGCTAATGGTCGTATTCAATTTAACAGAAGAAAATTGAATGAATTACCTCAATTCTTGAGTCAATTAACAACAAATTTAGGAATTCCAATTATTGCTCAAGAAGTAGTTTTCAATTATACATTTATGCGTAAAGTATCCATTTTATTATTAATAAAAGAAAAATAGAAAAGCAATAATAATAACAATTTATTCGTAAATTATAATAATATTGGTCTATTTTAGGTGCTAAGATTGCATGTTCAACATTCAATGATATTATAAATGATTTTCAAAAATTCACTGAGTCATCATCGTATAGTTTATCAGACGAAGTCAAAGCTATAAAATCAGAGATTAAGATTTTTTCAATGCTCTATTTGATTGTTGGCATTCAACTTCAACAGTATCCGGACAATTTCGCTTTTGAAGTATCTTCACGTCTGTTAAGTCTATTTGATATTAAGCCATTTATTACTAATCTTATCAAACAAATCGATGAACAAAGTATTCGATATTGTTCTTTAATTGTACCTTATTGTCAACTTCAATCGCCGGGTAGTGGATTAATCTTTTCAATGAATCGACATACAACATCTATAGTAGATTTTGATTTTACAGAAGATCAAATGAAAGCTATAACTCTTTCAGACAGAATAATTGTCATAGATATGGGAGAAGTACGTACAGTCTTGGATATCAATCTGCCAAACTTAGATGAACCATATTTGAATTCCACTACATTACCAGAAACATATACTTTCGATGGAAAAAATGAAATAAAAGATGCACGATCATCAAATGATTCAAATGATGAATTTAAACGATATTTATTTCTTGTTAATTCGTTGCATCATATTTATCTTGTATCAGCTAATGAGAATATTAAATTTGAACATTCGTCAAAAGTTGGTTATTTGACTGTTGAAATGCTTGATAAGAGACGTGCACTCTGTGTTATAGCCGAACGAAATACAAATTATGTAGAATGTTGGGATGTAGTAAGAAAACGATTATTTGATCGATTTGAGTTTCCTAAAGTGAAAGTCAAATATGTTCTTTGTGCTCAAGTTTATTCGATGATTATTATTGTTCTGCAAGATGGTATCATTGAATTTTATTCGATTACTGATTGGACGAAATCATCGTTTGTTCATCGAGGTTCAATTCATGCTGGAATTCATCTTGAACTAGTCGCAATTATCGGTGGAATGTTAATTCATACATTTAATGCAAATATTCCTATTGATTTTGCTCTAATTAGTTTAAAACAGTTCCATAAAACGGAGCAAGTCTTATCCGATAAACAAGTATTTAAAACATTAGTTGCATTTGATCCTCCAATGGGACGAAAACCAATCGAAAGTATCATATTACCCGATATAGAGTCAATGTCATTCGATGATATTCAGTCGAATTTTCCTTTTTTTATTACCAAGACAAGAGATGCCATATTTATCGTTCATAAATGTAATAATAAGGATATATCTTATATTCGTATTAATGGTCGATTTGATGTTGTGTCAATGCATGCAAAAAATTCACACACCTTATATACAGCTCGTGGTGGTATTGTTGAACTTCACAAATGGGCTTGTATTGAAAGCAAAGATTGTAACAGCAGAAATCACAAATATCAATTGTATGTTTCTATCGATATCAGTTCATCACCAATAACTTCAATCAAAGCTAAAGCCGGCAATGGTAAATATTTTTGATTTTAAAACGTGGTCTAAAGGATGCATTGGAGTATGTCGGGTAGAAATTTTCAGTTTCTCAAAATTCCGGATAATGAGAAATTTCGATAATCTATGCTTTAAATTCTTAGGTTACTATGTTCAGAATATTTGGAAATCAGCTTGTAGCCATAGTTTTTAGGAACTTTTTAAACTTAATGAAGCAGAATATATCGGTTAGCATTCGTCCAATTATAAGAATCTAAATGGGTGGACGATGATCGAAATTTCTGTTTCTTTCACTTTTATCGCGTTTCTTGATATTGATTTTTTTTTGCATTTGCCCAACTCTTTAGGTCTGAATTTGTAAGTCGTATTGCACGCTTTCTTTTCGTTTTTTTCCTTTTAACTAGGAATGAATTCATTCATTTTGCGTTGACAGACGCTCGATGGAGAATTGACTGCATTTTTACTCTATATCGTGCTGAAAGCTAATCTAAATCAGTGAAGATCTAGCACTCGGGTGTCCTTTTTATAAAAACTTTTTTCATTGAAATGCTTTTAATCAAAATATAATATGTTTAAATGAAAATAAAACTTGAATCGAAGAAACTTGCTTTACATATAGAATGAAATGACAAAATGGATCTATGTGTAGAGCAATTGCACAATGCGTAATTTCTTTATAATCATTACTATGTGAAGTAGAAAATTTATTTCACATATTCCTACCAAAAGAATAAGTTTTGAATATGAATGAACTGCAAAAAGTTCTTATTATTTGATAGGCTATGCAATTAATCAACGCAAATGAATTCATGAAGTTACTATCTTTTATATTTTGATGGATGATAAAGCCACAAGAATAGAATAAAATGAAACCGAAATGAATATTTACGACTTTTGCTTGCAATCTTTCTTCGAATTGTAAGTCTTATATGCAATTATCAGAATATAAATGAGACAGATTGGATTAGTTCTACGACAATCAATATGACAGGTTATTAAAAAAAACGAATGACTATAATTCATTGCTCATATTCATTAGGAATATCACTCATAACTAATATGTACGTATTGAGATACTTGCTCAAAGTATCGCGTTGTAAACTGGATAAATTATGACAGAAATTTTCAGTTCCTATTAACACTATCCAATTGCGTTTCAATTTTTGATTCCTTAGGTTTTCTTTTAAACTACTTTGCATAGACACTTGAATTCATCATTGATCAAGAACATGTTCGATTTTATTTTCTTGTATCTTTTTAGCGTCATTATTCGTATGTGCATTGGAAAACGGAGTCTTTCAAGTATATTATGCATCACATGCACGAGAAGCATTCAAGAACATGCCTTCGTTTCCACGTACAAATGAAGTTATACGAACTGTTCAACTACTTAATAAGACTGCGATTACTCTTGACAGTACACAACGGTAATTATATCTTGATTTTCTATTTGAATTCCGTTTGGATAGTATGAAAACAAACAGAATATCATCAGCAGTTTTACTTTTCTGAAGAGCAGTTCATGAGTATATTCGATTTACAGTGTGCTACAATATTGAGTTGAAAAAAATTTTACTTCAAAAATTGAAATAAGAAATCAAGATTAGTTTTCGAATAATTTGAACGCACTGTGTCAATCTGTATAGTAATGAGATTTTATAAAAATGAATAGGTATATCCCTAGAAAATGTCGATATTTGAGTAAACGTATTAATCATTATATTACAAAAAAAAAATTTTTTTCTAGCGAACTTACATCATGGTCATATCAATATGCACCATTCATTCACTCTACTCGTTCGTTTCTCGACGATGTAACTATAAACGAGTTTGCCATTGCGTTTAATAATTTAAATTCAGAGATGATATTTGTACTCATACTGACAACTAATCATTGGATTGAAATCTATTCTGCTAAATCACTTAACGATGAAGCTCTTTATAGTCTTCATCTTCGTTCTCCAGCACGAGTTCATTCGACCATTAATGAAAATTTTTATATTTTAACATGCAATGGTATCGTTTATTCTATTGTTCAACAAATTGCTTCTGACAATGAATTTTATTTCAATCAGAAAACTAATAGTCAATTAAAAATTCCATGTTCAATGATGCTAAGTTCTGTCTTAACTCTCAATGGACTAGAAAGTCTTATTGTTTTTGCTGACAATGGGCAATCGATGGCGATTTGCACTATGGAACGAGTTATCTATATTGACGTCGATGTTTCACCTTACATTTTATCATCATCATTGAAATCAATCACTAGTGAAAAAACACAAAATTTATTGTTATTATATTTCAATAATAAAACTCTCATCTCGTGTCAAGTAAAATTTGATGGATCAAATGAGAATGGTTCACTTCAATTTACTCCATTCGATCAAGCTGATAAATTTTGTCTACAAAATAATTGCCTTGCTACGTACAATAATGGAAAAACTCAACTTAATTTACATGACATTCGTTCATGTACATGCTATGAACCGATTCAACTCGATAATGAATGTCAATATTTATGTTTTAATGAATCAGCAACTTATGTTTTCGCATTAGTCAAACCTCGAGTGTTATTCATGTATCGAATGACTGATCGTCGACAAATGGCAAAATTATTTGTCTATGATTTTGTCTTGTCTATCGTAGCCGATAATGATTTTCTCGTATTAGCTATGAATGATCGGCGTTTACTTACATTAATGATTGCCGATCCTGATGATCCTACATTACAAGCAAGAATACAAGCATTACCAAGCAGGTATATGTAACATGAGAATAATGACGAGTAAAATTTCACACTTAGTTAGTAAGTAATGCAACAAGAGCTGTAAAGTTCTCAAGATAACGGAGTAAGACGAGTAGTCATCCTATTCCGCGATGTTGCACATTGCAGAATCGATTCTGGAATGTGCAACATCGCGGAGTAGGATGTATTATCGGTAAGAGTTTCACCTACATCACATGCCGTTTATGAATTATACGACTTTACCATCTAAAAACGATATCCTCTAAAATGTGTCAGCATCTAATAAATAAAAACAATAGATTGTTCTCTGATGATAACATTTTCTACTAATGATTACTCATATATCGATCTATAGGAGTTAGTCAACTATATCAATAGGCTGTTACATACCACACATTTGGAAAGACGTAATGTAAATCGAATTCCTCAGATTAGTTTTACTTTTATTGACTCTCGAATTGACAGTCAATTCAAATAACAAATATTCTTGTCAATTATGACCAATGTCATCTAAGATTTGAAAATAAAGAAGGAAAATTGTGCTAAAAAAATCTAATTTTACGAAAATTATTATAAATTAACTGATTAGACAGCGACAGAATCAGTCTCATTTCCTTGCCAAACTTATAGTTAGAAACAGATTTATAGTTTTGTTTTTGTAATAGAAATCCTCAGCGTTTGAGTAAATCTGCAACAAAAAGACTTGTTGACCATGTGGAAAAATGTGGCGATATGAGTTCAAGCGATGAAAATGAATCTGATCTTGATGATGATGATGATAATAATAAAGCCAACCAGCAATTTAAAAAGAAGAAAAATAACCAAACAAATGTACAAAAGTTTGCGTCACCTACTAGTCTCTTTCGTATCGTTACTCGGTTAAATGGACGGCATTCATTTTCCAAGATGAGAAAAGACGAAGAAATACGATCCCAAGTCATGGCTATATCATTGAGCAATTCAGAGACTCTTGATATGGCAAAAATGGTAGATAATTCGGATGATGAAAATTACGATGATAATAACGACGTAAAAGTTCCAGATTTTGTTATTAAAACAGACGAACATAAAAATATCGATGCTGATTTGAATGATATTCGTCAGAAAACATTAGAATTCAATCAAAACCAAATCAAAGGGATTCAATTTGCAAATGCAGGTGATAGAAATTTGAAGATTGTGAACAATCACGCAATAACTTCGAGTACATGTAGTATTACTTGATCATCTCTATAGGTAACTTCAAGATTTCTATGATAAAAACGTAAAGATCATCTAAATTTTGAAAAATCAATGTCAAAACTTTCCATTCTTTTCATTAAAATAAATTAGGCTTTTTCAATTTTTACTATTCTGTTGAGTGTGGGGTGTGGCGTGTGGCGTGTGGGTGTGTCGTGTGGGTGTAGATGTGGGTGTGGGGTGTGGGTGTGGGCGTGGCTTGTGGGTGTGGGTGTGAATGTGGGTGTGAGAGAAAAGAAGATTCACAACAACATCCACACCCACACCCACACCCTCACTCACACCCACACTCACACCCTCTAAATTCAAATCTTTGCTATTCTTGTAAGCATATTGATTTAAGCCGTCTGATGCTTATCTGAGCCGACGTGAGACTAATTATGGTAGCTATTCTCATACTCAAGATGATGAAACACGTGGGTGAAATAGCTGGATATTTTCTTATTACAAAGCACTTTATAATTTGTAATTCAAATAACACATTGACAAAGTCGATTGTTGAAAAGTACGAGTTGAGATCTGTGGAGATGGAAGGATGTTCGTATCACACTTCTCCATTTATTCATGAAAAACTCTAGGCTGTATATACGACAGTGAAACGCACATCTCTAGGAGACATGCATCGGATGATGGGAACAAATTCCATCACACATAATACGTATGAAAGACAACATAAAGAGAACAAAAGGAAAAGAGCAAACATATTCCCTAGACTGAAAGTATAGGGTCTAGAAACGGAAATTCGCCTGTGTCTGTCTGTCTGTCTGTCTGTCTGTCTGTAACACGTATGGTTACCATATGGTAACTATGTGATCGTTAAAATAAAAATAAATATATATTTCGAATGGCGCGCAAAGCCAATAAAATAAGATTTTCTTTCTATTCCCAAGACTGAAAGGCTAGCGTCTAGAAACCGAAATTCACCTGTGTCTGTCTGTCGGTAACGCAGTCAAAATGGCCATTTTTTTGGCACACGTGACCATTTTTATGGCATAAACGACCACTTTTTTGGCACAAGTGACCATTTTCGTGCCACAAATGGCCATTTTTTTGGCACAAGTGACCATTTTTTTGGCACAAACGGCCATTTTTTTACTAAAATTAACTAGGTAACTATGGTACAAATGAGCATGTAACTATGGCACAAACGGTCATTTTTTTGGTAGAAACGACCACATAACTATGGCACAAGTGACCATATAGCAATCATGGTACAAACAACTATTCCGGTAACTATGGTACAAATGACCATCTAAAGACTGATGTAAATGAACCCATAATAATCATGGGTAAAATGTCAATGGAATAACTATAATTTGGGTAGTGATGTAAAACGGCTTACTTACACAAGCATTTAATTAGTGAGAGTCAGACCAAATGAGCAGTATGGATTTAAAGAAATCGTTTAAATTATTCATTATTGTAAGATTGATTGTGCAATGTTGTATCAATGAATATCTAATTTATTAATAGTTTAGAATTAATGCGTGAATTTAAGCATAAAATATTGATTAATAAAACTCAAATTTTATGAATAATATAATTCATATTTTTGTACGTACAAATAGCGCCAATATAATTATAAAAAAATCGTATTGTTGTCTAATCTTATTAGGCGCTATTTATATTCATAAAAGCAAAAAAAAAATAAAACAAAAACGATAAAAAAAAATTAAATTTGTAAATGCATCATCTTTACTTAGAGTGAGAATTCTCCAAATTAAGTTTTCTGGTCGCCTAAGGTATACTGGTCATATTATCAATGTTGCGTATTACTTTTTTAATGTAGCTTTTTATGCTATTCCTTCCGTACATGTATTCTATCAGTCTAGGGCTAAGTGAATCGCTTGACGATGAACGTTACTTGTACAATAGAAAGGAATAGAAAAATTCCAAACATATGTGACATGTATAGGAAGAACGAAAGGAAAATACTACCTAACAGATCAAACGGATTGAACTTGGTTTCCAAGACAAATGAATCCGTTTCCTATTGGTAGTAAGTTTGATCGTTTCGTTCTAAAAGAATATTCAGTAACCACTCGAGCCAGCAATCCGCTGGAATATCAGTGGATTGAACTGTTTGGAGAATTGTCTCCGCCGGTAAATTCGTGAAAATGCCATTTGGATCGATGAAAAGTTCATTCAAGTGATGCATATTCGTTTTGAATTTGTTTGGCAAGGATTTCTCGAATTTGTCCTTCCATTCGACCATTAACTCCAATAGACTTGATTTCTGTTCATCTGTCCATGAATCGATAGCAAACAGATGTCCATAGATAATGGCAAAATAATCGACATCTAGATCGGACGAGACAAAATCTGTCATAACTTGCTGCTCGATCGTTTCACTATATCGAATGTAAAAAGGCGATGAAAAAAATCAAATTTTATATTTCCTCGTGGTTATGAAACTTGAAGAATTACTCTTAAAAATACTCACACTGATTGATTTTGTCTCCATGTGTTATCTGTCCAATTGATAGTTACTCTCTGTGATGATGATAAAAATTTATTCTTTTGTCTTGTATAGAATGTAGGAAAAGTAAGATTTTACGTGGTAGAATGCTACTCACAGTTTCATAATTTGATTTTGCTCTTCGAGCAATAATGCCTGAAAATATGCAATAGATATAGTGTGCATCAATGCGCTGAATATGATTTGTATATCAGATCCTTAACAAGATTTAGACAATATAATGAATTTAAATGTTACATTGATTGGTTCTATAGTTTAATTAATAAAACATTGTCTAATTTTAAGATTTTGAAACTTCAACAGAGAAATATTAGGCTTTCTAAAATCTACTGATTTTGATAAATTTGAATCTTTTTCGATTAGGCATGGTGTTACGCAACACTCCGTTAAAGAAACAACATTTAAGAGAACTAGTTTTGATCAAAACCGACTAAATATGCTGAAATAACTGAATAGAAGTTCAAGAAAGAAAGTCTAGACAAGGGTAGTCAAGTAAAAAACAACTAATTTTGGTGATGCAGTGACCGCATACCAATCAAACGGCGGGAAATGGCATACACTCAATGTGTTTGTGGTAGGACCAAGCTACGTATCTGTTGCTCATCACAGCATATCGCTCAGGTTAGAACAAGGCTCAATGAGATTTTTTTATAAAAGAGACCTTTGACAAATCTGACAATGAGTGTTACGAAAAGTCACCTGCTTTTGATCAAAATGAAGCAAAATTGATCGATTTTTGCTAAACTAACGTGGTCTAGGCTTTGTTTCTCGAGCTTCTCTTCAACTATTTGAGTAAGTGATACTGAGTCGTTTTTTGATCGAAATGACTCGAAAATTTATATATTAGAGAAAATTTTGAAATGTCTAACAGCTCTCTTTCAGAACGACATTACTCGTTTCGTAGTGCAATACTAATTCACATAGAAATTACCTGCCGTCGTGCTGCTTGTTTTTTTGCCTCGATTTCTCGCTCTTCGTCTTGTTTCTTCTGCAATTTATAACGATGATTTCTTTCCTAATTGACATGTTGATATATATGTGCAATATAATCGTTAATATCAGTATTCTTACTTGCCGGTCAAATTTTTCACGTCTATATTGTTCATCTTGTCGTTTTCGAACATCCTCTTCAGTCGATTCTCCACCTTTTGTCAACAACAGGAAAAAGAACAAATTCTATGGTATTTGATTTCAAATAAAAAAATTTACCCACTGAACCGGCTATTTTTAAATTACGAGGACTTGTTCGCTCGATATGTTCTTGATATTTTTGTACTCCATTTTTGGCTTGCCTTTGAATTTCGTCCCTTTTCGTTGCCGATGGAGTAAACATATGATAAAAACCACTAAAAGTTTAAATAATTAATACATATCAAAGCTAATACACCACCTTTTTGCCACCCAACGTAAGTTACACGTCCTTATGTAGTTTTACGTTGGCATAAGATGTGATGGGTATCTTTTGGCTACTTCTATTTTCTTAGACTTGTTCAACCCTTGTTACTGTCAAGAGTGATCTCTATGAATGATGACGAATTCATCATGGTGCCCTTTTTTGAAATCAACTAAACAATTTTTTGATGATTTGATGATCGCTGCCGCCTAAGTGAGAAATAGGATTATGACAGTTCCATATCAGTTCTGCTCTGAGGAAAGAGCCAAATTGATAATTGATTAACTGATTAATTACACATAACTACTTACAACTGCTTACAATTAGTAAAAATGATCAGTGAGTAATTATGCATAGTTATGAGTAGTTAATAAGTAATTAATGACTAGAACTGTAATAGTACCAGCTCTTTTGAACGAAAACTGTCATAGTCCTAATGGAAAATCCTTTCTTCGAATCTCAATATTTTTTCGACTTCAGCTTCAGAGAAATGATCAAAGTCCTTCTAGTGGCCTCTTATATCCTTCAACTTAAATTATCCAAACAAATATTGTCACTGCTTTAGCGAAAGATATTCAGGATCGAGTGGAATCAAAATTAGAGTTGATGCCATCCTCTCGAGATCGAACTAGCCGATCTCGTCAGACTCTACCCGTCAGATACTCTGAGAACTGTCATTTACATGTCCAGTGCAACTATATTCGTCGACCTTTATGCATCAGGTACATACTGATCTGAAACATTGCGCTTCTCATTAAATATAATCGTCAAACTATCAACCATAGTCATCCAGTCAGAAAATTGTCGCGGATTCCTTGCACTGATATACCAAATATGATCAACACCTCGCAGACCACACTCAATAATTTCATTTTCGATTTGATGTTTAAATGCATCTCTTTCACTTTGTGGGACCAAATCGAACTTGTTCACTACAATATCATATCGTAAATTGATGGCATCAAGCAGGTGAAACACTTTGGTCATTTCTTTCACGGTCGCCGTAATCAACACGAGTCGACCTATTAACGCTTTCCAAAACGCTACATATTCCATGCTGAAGTATGAAAGGTCATCGTTACGTCCCGGAATATCATACAATCGAAAACCTGAACCATCGTAAGGTTCAATCTTGGTGGTCGTGTGACCTGCACTTGTCTTCGCCAAATCCGCTCCCAGAAGTGTATTAATCATCGTGCTCTTGCCAGTTGATGTCAAACCGAAGAAACCAAAGCTGCGGCCGCCTAGCTGAAGTGGAGGTGTTTGCGATGCTAGACGGACTAGTTCTTCGGCTCCCCTTTGATCATGTCGTTGCAAATCATCGAACGAGCGAATTTCCCAAGCAGCCAATTTCTGTTGGAGCTTTCCAAATTCTTGTAGTAGATATGCATTTTGTCGTTGAAATGCTTCTAATTGTTGTAGAATGGCAGGATCTTGTACATATTCGTGTACCACTTCGTGTGAGTGTCCTGATAACAAAAGTATACTCAAAATCATGAGAGCTTGTAGGTAATACTCACCTTTACCCATGTTGCGAAGGATGATATCTGTAAGAGTAAGAGCAGTGAGTAATAAATTCACGCACTTTGGAGAGTGAGAGAATACTCAAGTATAGTTATCTTTAAATACTACTGTTCTTATCTGTTTTGTTGTTTTTTTAACTCATTACTCATCAAAATGGTTTTTTTCTACCGAGTTACAGACGTGTGGGTGTATTTCGGCCATTATTTGTCAATGTACACCCACACGTCTGTAACTCGGTAGAAAAAAATCATTTTGATGAGTAATGAGTTAAAAAAACAACAAAACAGATAAGAAC